CAGCTGCAGGTTCACAGTTCCTGATACAAATGAGAAGATCAGCACTGATGGATCATAATAATGACAGTGAACATGAGAAGGTTGACCTTGACCCTGACCTTGACCCTGACCCTGCTGACCAACAGAGGAGGCATCAGTCGTATCATCGACTACACCCTCAGAGCGGTGTGACCAGAGTGACCTCGTCAACAGTCGTAGTTATTACAGACCTGTTTACACAGCTCTGATCCCAGGAGTGGACTAGTCAACAGACTGGACTGGACTGGACTGGACTGGACTGGACTGAACTGGACTGGACTGAACTGGATTCAACTGGACTGGACTGGACTGGACTCTGAACTGGACTGGATCAGCACAGTAAGACGACCTTTAACCACTAACACGGTCAGAGTCATTAACCTCAGTGATGTCCTATCACAGCAGGTGATACTGTTGACTGTGATAAACCGCTGTACACACGTACTGTATGTAGTACAGGACGTCTGTACTACATACAGTACACACGTACTGATCAACTGCTCCTTTTAATCTCTACAAATACCCACAATGCATCAGTGGTGACATCAACTATAATCCACACACAGGAGCCATCACACAGACATCACTGTCACTGACTGAACACCAGTAACCAGTGACCAGTGACCAGTAACCAGTGACCAGTAACCAGTAACCAGTGACCAGTGACCAGTCCACAGCGGTGTAGTACTGGTGTTTATATCATCACGTCATCAACATAGATGAGGAACATTTAGGTCAAATACAAATCAATACAACTCAACTCCTGGTGGAATGAGGTGGTATTACACATGACTATAATAAGTAACGTGTGTATTACTTGTTACTACGTATAAAGCCTCAGCATTCAAAGGTCTTCAACCTGTGGGTCGTGGACCACATGACTCCATGAATGTGTTTATATATGATATATATATTGTGTTCCCTGGTCAGTCTGACGTCACCGACTGTCTCTTCACACTCATCAGGTTTGAGCCCATTTAGCTCATGTCAGCTAACGTCGCTAACAACAAAACAACATACTGTCACTGTCCTCTTTTATCCAAGACGAGGCAGCAGCGCAGGAGGAGGGAGAACTGTTGAAACGTGTCGTAGAAATGTTTTCACCTGTGGTTTAACAAGTAAAACCACCAGAAACGACGGAGTACTACAGTACTGAGTAGTACTGCACTGTTGACTTGGTTTAAATGACTGGAATCTTTGTGTTGAAGGTTACAGACCCCTGTACTAGTCTTTGTACGGAGTAGTACTTGATATACAGGTGTACAACAAATACTTATAATGGCTGTCATGTTGACATCTGTACTACACTGTGAAGAGTAGTACAATCACAGTACACAGTATCTGAGAGCAGTATTCACAGTAAAATGACAACAAGCCTGTACTGAAGCCTGTACTGAAGTACACCTCATGGCCTCGTTGGCCCAGGCTCCGCTGGACTCCACTGTCGACCGAGGGGCAGCTTCTCATACCAGGTGAGAAAACATTAAACCATAACCACACACACACTCACACAATCTACACAAGATGGTGTGCAGTACTTCTCAGTACACAGTATGTATGTGGTCACATGATCAATACAACACACACGACCACGACCTCCTTTAACGACCGTCTCTCCACCTGCCTCCCCCTCCTAGACCAGTGCAGTGCACACACACACACACACACACTCAGCCGCTCCCAGCCCTTCACTCAGGCTCCGCCCCCCAACAGTTACCAGGAAGTTGTCTCCCAAAAGCCACTCAACAATGTTTTTCCTCTGCGTCTCCCCCCTCCTCCCTCCTCCCCCCTCCCTCCTTCGATTGGGACTCTCCT